TTTCTCCCTACAACACACTGTTTCTCCATTCAACACACTGTTCTCCCTATAACACATTGTTTCTCCCTTCAACACACTGTTTCTCCCTTCAACACACTGTTTCTCCCTTCAACACACTGTTTCTCCCTACAACACACTGTTTCTCCATTCAACACACTGTTCTCCCTATAACACAATGTTTCTCCATACAACACATTGTTTCTCCATTCAACACACTGTTTCTCCCTATAACACATTGTTTCTCCCTACAACACACTGTTTCTCCATTCAACACACTGTTTCTCCCTATAACACATTGCTTCTCCCTTCAACATATTGTTTCTCCCTTCAACACATTGATTCTCCCTACAACACACCTGTTCACATAACAACAAACTTGTTCACACTACAACACACTTGTTCACATTACAACACACTTGTTCACACTACAACACACTGTTTCTCCCTACAACACACTTGTTCACACTACAACACACTTGTTCACATTACAACACACCGTTTCTCCCTACAACACACTTGTTCACACTACAACACACTTGTTCACCATACAACACACTGTTTCTCCCTTCAACACACTTGTTCACACTACAACACACTTGTTCACACTACAACACACTGTTTCTCCCTACAACACACCTGTTCACACTACAACACACTGTTTCTCCCTACAACACACTTGTTCACACTACAACACACTTGTTCACACTACAACACACTGTTTCTCCCTACAACACACTTGTTCACACTACAACACACTTGTTCACACTACAACACACTTGTTTACACTACAACACACTTGTTCACACTACAACACACTTGTTCACATTACAACACACTTGTTCACACTAGAACACACTTGTTCACACTACAACACACTTGTTCACACTACAACACACTTGTTCACACTACAACACACTGTTTCTCCCAACAACAAACTTGTTTACACTACAACACACTTGTTCACATTACAACACACTTGTTCAAACTACAACACACTGTTTCTCCCAACAACACACTTGTTCACACTACAACACACTTGTTCACATTACAACACACTTGTTCACATTACAACACACTGTTTCTCCCTACAACACACTGTTTCTCCCTACAACACACTTGTTCACATTACAACACACTTGTTCACACTACAACACACTGTTTCTCCCTACAACACACTGTTTCTCCCTACAACACACTTGTTCACATTACAACACACCGTTTCTCCCTACAACACACTTGCTCACATTACCACAAACCGTTTCTCCCCACAACACACTTGTTCAAACTACAACACACTTGTTCACATTACAACACACTTGTTCACACTACAACACACTGTTTCTCCCTACAACACACTGTTTCTCCCTACAACACACTTGTTCACACTACAACACACTGTTTCTCCCTACTTGTTCACACTACAACACACTTGTTCACACTACAACACACTGTTTCTCCCTACTTGTTCACACTACAACACACTGTTTCTCCCTACAACACACCTGTTCACATTACAACACACTTGTTCAAACTACAACACACTGTTTCTCCCCACAACACACTTGTTCACACTACAACACACTTGTTCACATTACAACACACTTGTTCACACTACAACACAGTTTCTCCCTACAACACACTTGTTCTCATTACAAGACACTGTTTCTCCCTACAACACACTTGTTCACACTACAACACACTTGTTTACACTACAACACACTTGTTCACACTACAACACACTTGTTCACATTACAACACACTTGTTCACACTAGAACACACTTGTTCACACTACAACACACTTGTTCACACTACAACACACTTGTTCACACTACAACACACTGTTTCTCCCAACAACAAACTTGTTTACACTACAACACACTTGTTCACATTACAACACACTTGTTCAAACTACAACACACTGTTTCTCCCAACAACACACTTGTTCACACTACAACACACTTGTTCACATTACAACACACTTGTTCACATTACAACACACTGTTTCTCCCTACAACACACTGTTTCTCCCTACAACACACTTGTTCACATTACAACACACTTGTTCACACTACAACACACTGTTTCTCCCTACAACACACTGTTTCTCCCTACAACACACTTGTTCACATTACAACACACCGTTTCTCCCTACAACACACTTGCTCACATTACCACAAACCGTTTCTCCCCACAACACACTTGTTCACACTACAACACACTTGTTCACATTACAACACACTTGTTCACACTACAACACACTGTTTCTCCCTACAACACACTGTTTCTCCCTACAACACACTTGTTCACACTACAACACACTGTTTCTCCCTACTTGTTCACACTACAACACACTTGTTCACACTACAACACACTGTTTCTCCCTACTTGTTCACACTACAACACACTGTTTCTCCCTACAACACACCTGTTCACATTACAACACACTTGTTCAAACTACAACACACTGTTTCTCCCCACAACACACTTGTTCACACTACAACACACTTGTTCACATTACAACACACTTGTTCACACTACAACACAGTTTCTCCCTACAACACACTTGTTCTCATTACAAGACACTGTTTCTCCCTACAACACACTTGTTCACACTACAACACACATGTTCACACTACAACACACTTGTTCACATTACAACACACTTGTTCACACTACAACACACTTGTTCACACTATAACACACGGTTTCTCCCTACAACACACTTGTTCACACTACAACACACTTGTTCACACTACAACACACTTGTTCACATTACAACACACTGTTTCTCCCTACAACACACTGTTTCTCCCTACTTGTTCACACTACAACACACTTGTTCACATTACAACACACTGTTTCTCCCTACTTGTTCACACTACAACACACTGTTTCTCCCTACTTGTTCTCACTACAACACACTTGTTCACATTACAACACACTTGTTCACACTACAACACACTTGTTCACACTACAACATACTGTTTCTCCCTACAACACACTTGTTCACACTACAACACACTGTTTCTCCCTACAACACACTTGTTCACACTACAACACACTTGTTCACACTACAACACACTTGTTCACATTACAACACACTGTTTCTCCCTACAACACACTTGTTCACACAACAACACACTTGTTCACACTACAAGACACTGTTTCTCACTACAAGACACTTGTTCACATTACAACACACTTGTTCACACTACAACACACTTATTCACACTACAACACACTTGTTCACACTACAACATACTGTTTCTCCCTACAACACACTTGTTCACACTACAACACACTGTTTCTCCCTACAACACACTGTTTCTCCCTACAACACACTTGTTCACATTACAACACACTGTTTCTCCCTACAACACACTTGTTCACACAACAACACACTTGTTCACACTACAAGACACTGTTTCTCACTACAAGACACTTGTTCACATTACAACACACTTGTTTACACTACAACACACTTGTTCACACTACAACACACTTGTTCACACTACAACACACTGTTTCTCCCTACAACACACTTGTTTACACTACAACACACTTGTTCACACTACAACACACTTGTTCACACTACAACACACTGTTTCTCCCTACAACACACTTGTTCACATTACAACACACTTGTTCACACTACAACACACTTGATCACACTACAACACACTGTTTCTCCCTACAACACACTTGTTCACATTACAACACACTTGTTCACACTACAACACACTTGTTCACACTACAACACACTTGTTCACACTACAACACACTGTTTCTCCCTACAACACACTTGTTCACACTACAACACACCTGTTCACACTACAACACACTGTTTCTCCCTACAACACACCTGTTCACATTACAACACACTTGTTCACACTACAACACACTTGTTCACACTACAACACACTGTTTCTCCCTACAACTCACTTGTTTACACTACAACACACTTGTTCACACTACAACACACTGTTTCTCCCTACAACACACTTGTTCACACTACAACACACTTGTTCACACTACAACACACTGTTTCTCCCTACAACACACTTGTTCACACTACAACACACTGTTTCTCCCTACAAGGTTAACACACTTGTTCACACTACAACACACTTGTTCATATTACAACACACTGTTTCTCCCTACAACACACCTGTTCACACTACAACACACTGTTTCTCCCTACAACACACTTGTTCACACTACAACACACCTGTTCACACTACAACACACTGTTTCTCCCTACAACACACCTGTTCACATTACAACACACTTGTTCACACTACAACACACTTGTTCACACTACAACACACTTGTTCACACTACAACACACTGTTTCTCCCTACAACACACTTGTTTACACTACAACACACTTGTTCACACTACAACACACTGTTTCTCCCTACAACACACTTGTTCACACTACAACACACTTGTTCACATTACAACACAATGTTTCTCCCTACTTGTTCAGACTACAACACACTTGTTCACATTACAACACACTGTTTCTCCCTACAACACACTTGTTCACATTACAACACACTTGTTCACATTACAACACACTGTTTCTCCCTACAACACACTTGTTCACATTACAACACACTTGTTCACATTACAACACAATGTTTCTCCCTACTTGTTCAGACTACAACACACTTGTTCACCATACAACACACTGTTTCTCCCTACAACACACCACTTCACCCTACAACACACATGTTCACACTACAACACACCACTTCACCCTACAACACACCACTTCATCCTACAACACACTGCTTCACCATACAACACACTGTTTCTCCCTTCAACACACTTGTTCACACTACAACACACTGTTTCTCCCTACAACACACCACTTCACCCTACAACACACCACTTCACCCTACAACACACCACTTCATCCTACAACACACTGCTTCACCCTACAACACATCACTTCACTATATGTCTGATAATGGATATTTGGGAAAGGACTCACTCTCCTCAGACTCTTCCTCCTCCTGGTCCTTTGAATCTTTCCTTCTCAGACTTCCCTTCTTCTGAAACATTCAGCGTTTCAGCACTTTAGCCGGCAGAGTCATGCTAAGTAAAAGCTTCTACTGTCATAACCAGGATCATGGTCATGCAATCACAAGATTTCATGAACTATAGCAAGAACAAGCAATTTAGGTTCATTCACAAGGACCCAGTGTATTTTAATGATTAGACACCTGGGTCTGAGTGATCTAAGATATTTAAACCATGATTAATATTCAAGAAAACTGAGCACCTAACTTTGTAACCAACATTTTATTGTTATCATTGTTAATAATTCTAAGAATAATAAATCTATTACATCTTTGCCATAAATCCTGTATTTTGGCTTCAGTCACACTAACTAAATTTTAAGATTTTCAACAGATGTCCTCTTCACTGTCAATTACACACAATTAGTTGTTCCAGAATAGCACTATAGCAACCCAAGCTATGCCAGGATTCGTAAGTGTCTATGGCCCATGATGGTAGAATGGTTTTGGCTACAAAATGTGGGAGCGATCTTAGATTAATTGACGTCCAATGTTGATCATGGGTGACTAGAACAGTCCAGAGCATGGAGTTCTGAAACTCATGCTGCTGTCACCATGGCTAGGAGGAAGGAGGCTTTCCTGGATTTTTGGAGTAAGGTAGCCTTAGCCATGGGCTCATAAGGTTCCGTTAAAAGTGCCGATAGCACAACAGATAGATTCCATTGGGGGAAGATACTAGGTGTGCGAACATCTTCGAGTAGAAAGGATCTTATTAGTCTGTTTAGAATGGGATGGTTTCTAATTGAGAGTCTGCATGTTGAAGTACAGAGTAAAGTGCCGATCTGTAACCTTTTATCGTCCCATGTCGGAACTTATTGTCCTGACGTAGATGTAGTAGAAAGTCCGCTACCATAGGGATAGGGAGTGTATTAGTATCTAACCCCTTGTCGTCTTCTCCACTGGACGAACTTACCCCATCTATTGTCATATATAAGGGAGGACGAAGGTCTCCATGAGCTTGCCACAGCTTCAGATGCAAGTCCAGAGTACCCGGATGTCTGCATCTTTGCGTGATAACTTCCAGGCAGTTAGATTTAGGCTGGGCAGATTGTCGTAGGAAATGTTGACCTGGTCTGTCATAATAGATCTCGACGGAGAGGTAACTGGAGAGGCTCTTCCATTAATAGACTTAATAATCTGGGGAACCATGCTCTGCTGAGAGAGATTGGTGCTATCAAGATTATCATGCAATCCGTCTCCTCCACCTTGTTGATGACCTTGACTAGGAGAGACCATGGTTGGAATGCGTATGATGTTCTGGCGTCGGTGGAAGTCAGAGGAATGTCGCTTATCACATGCTCTCTGTGAGTCCACCAATGCAGGTCCCTCCAATGCAGGTCCCATAATAAATATGGAGGTAACTGAATCTTGAACTCTAGGGTGTTGATCAATGTCTGTAGAGGATGTAACATCAACCTTCCTCTGAAGGTCATATCCTGTAGAGACGTTAGATTGCCTAGAAGAGACGTCCACAATCTTAGAGACCTGCTGGGTTGAATTGACAGGGATTGAATCATCGTAATAGTCTTGACAAATCAATTCTCTGGTGGACATAGATATCCCTTGTGGAGTTGGAAACGCACTCCGATGTATACGTTGTCTTGAACCGGAGTGGTCTTGGACTTGGAGGGATTGACTAGGAGGCCTAGGTAGGTCATAAGCTGAACCAGCAATAGCATGTTCTGGTGTAAGCGAGCTTCTTCTTGGTCTGCTGCCAGGAATCGTCCAGGTACTCTTGCATTCGTACTATCTGGAGGTGGGCAAACATGATGACTGGTGCTGTAATCCTGATAAACAAGGAGCTATTGATATCCCGAATGGTAAGACCTGGTACTTGTAGCGTTGATCCGTTATTGCAGGTCGAGGCTGATGAGCCAATTTCATGTCCTCAAAGTCAACCGCAACTTCCGTCTGGATTCCATCTGGAACTTTGGAGGAGGTACCAGGAATGATTTGTTGAGGATCTTTACGTCTGAATTAAAGAATTAAGAATTCGGAACTAAGAATAGCGGAGAATAAAAAACCTTTGGTGTTGTTGATCTCCAATAGTTTCAGAATGGCTTGTTTCTTTAGTAGCTTCCTGATGGACAGATCTGCTGCCGCTAGCTTGACTCCGACTAGACGAATCTGTGGAGATCTGAGATGTCAGGATGGGATGCTCCTTGAAATGCCGTTTAGCGAAATGGGTGGTAAGGAAGTCAGAACTTCTGCCCCTGACTTGTCTCGGTGATAGGCTCCTCGTTTCTTGTAGTCAGGCTTATGAAACGAATCCTGAGAAGACTGATGTTTGTCGTACCCCGATTCAGTTGGAACGAATCCTACCGAGAGGGAACAAACTTCTTCTTAGGTGGCTGTATATATGATGAATCTTTCTGATACCTTCAGGGATAGGAAGATCCCTGTGCATTGACAGCTAGGTTGATAGTCGACACCTGGGCCGTTCACTTGTGTCTTGTCTGACCTCGTCTATGACATGTCCCAATCTGCCGTTGAATATCTTGGGAGCAGATATCGGTTATGACATTATCAACCTTTTCGTTTGGTTGGAAACAGCTCTCGAATGGATCTGTGATAGTAGTTGTTGACGCTGTACCAAGATTAGCTGTGAAGACATCCAGACTTGGGTTGATGAGTAAATCTTCCTGAATTCTGACTATGGTGTATAGCAGGCTCTGGATGAATACGACCTAGTCATAGGAGTCTCTCCAGATATACCTTCATATGATGTCTGCAACGGTGGAATGATGTGCCTGATTTTGGCGACAACCAGTTGATATATGCGGCAATGTCTATAAAATGTCTAGATGTCATAGACAGGTCTTCAGTCCGGGAAGTAGGAAGAGTGACTTTAGTATTAGGGTTGTGTACTAAATTCATAAAAATCCTCACCAAAACTTGATATGAAGATAAGGGGAGCTGGTCAAAATGTCTGAGCTTGAGTAGATTTTCAGATGCCTGATGTACCACCTAACTCGGCTACGGCAATGTCTGGTGGATATGTTGAGATGATGTGGGAGCATGATATCCTCCATATTCCGGCATCTTAGGTGGTGAATTTTCGGTCAATGGAGGTTGGAGTACAGGCATAAGATCAAGGAGTTCCACAAAGGTGTATCCCTCTGTATAATCCTGCTGGGGTGAACCAACTGACTGATTTACCTTCTCATGTAGGTCCGATTCCACCTCTGAATGACTGTGGGTAGTTCCCGGGAGGGATGGATGTTCGTCACAATCCATACACTCAACATATTCCACACGCTGTTCATCCACTGGGGTGTCCAGGATTCCGGTATGAGTAAGGTCCGTGCGGCTTGTGATGGCTGCCCGTGTATAACGGAGCCCGTACAGGAATGATGGTCCTCCATCAAACCGCTGGACTGTCCCATGATGTAATCTTCGGTTTGGTCTCATGGACAGTCCTGTGCAGTCCGAGCGGTCTGCTTAGGTACCGTCAGTTGATGGCTACTATACGGTTGAAGTGACGCTTCTGTGACTGTCGACTGGGTTACAGTGGAGTCCGTACGGTGACCGTACGGTGTCTTAGCTTGGGAATATGGCCTTGCGGTACCCTGATGGGACCCAAGTGGAGGTCGGTATGGTCGGCTGGGCTACCTGGCTAATCAGAATGGTCAGTTGAGGTAGGCCGTACGGCCGTGGCTGTGGCAAAAATAGATGGCTGACCCCATGTGGCCTCTTGGCCAGACTCTTCTTAGCCAATACTGTCTGCTTCTGACATGTTCATAGAGAACATAGAAGTAGGTTCAATCGACGGAGTAGTAGGTAGAGATGCTGTGGCCTGAACAGATGGCTGTCCCCAATGCAGCCTTTTGGCTGGAGGTCTCTTCTTAGCCAATACTGTCCTGTGATCATAAAATGGCCACACTTCTTACAAGCAGGAGGAGGAGGAGACTCCTTGACGACCTCCCAAACACCTCACACCAGCCATTCTTACATGAGTATGTTCATCACAATTAGCAGCTCTTACTGATATGACTTAATACATCTTTTTTTTATATCCATAAAATTGTGTCTATCTTGTCTTAATATATCTGTTTTATTAGAAAACCATAGAACAATCTTAGATTAAATGTGACTAAACCAAGTACTAGATTGTTACAACTTTAACAGTAGGTGTTGACTCTAGCACAGACAGGAAAGAAGTGTGGATTTCTGCCATTGCACACGTCATAGTTTGGGTTGCAATAGTGCTATTCGGGAACAACTAATTGTGTGTACCGTATTTTCTTGAGTATAAAGCACACTTTTTTCCCCCAAAAACACAGCTCGGTAGAAGGGGGTGCACATTGTACACGCCATAATGAGTTTTGATGTTTTTTTCTCCAAATGCAAAGACATTACCGTGAGCACGTAACACCGGAATTACCTTGTCAACAAATCCATACTGAAGTACGTAAATTAATTATGTAATTACACTGTCTGGTTATAAAAAGTGTTCATTGTATATCTGGAATTCTTACTTATTTCTGGTCGAGTAGCCTAGTGGTTAAAGCGTTTGCTCGTCACGCCAAAGACCCCGGTTCGATTCCTGACATGGGTACAATGTGTGAAGCCCATTTCTGGTGTCCCCCGCCGTGATATTGCTGGAATATTGCTAAAAGCGGCATAAAATCAAACTCACTCACTCTTACTTATTTCATTAATTTTATTCAAAATTTCTTTTTAGGATTGTTTTAATTAATTTCAGCAAAACCGTGTGTGAAATGATTGGAAGATCGCACAACTCACCGTTTTTTAACAGCAACCATGGCCAGATTACCACTATTGATGCCTTGAAACAAATTTATCATAACTGCCATACTTTGACTCGTTAAAAGTCATATTTGTTATAGTTTGACGATCCTATGTCAACATGTAGTTCTTGCGATCACGTGCACGGGAGCCACGACAGTGACTGTCAAATTGTTCCAGGTGAAAATAAATAAACGGCAATAGTGATCAGCTGCACCAAAGTGCTACGCTTAGGGTTATTATTAGTTTAAATATATTTAGTAAAAGCTGCAACTAAAATAACAAGATATTGGAATATAAAAATAATAGTTTCAGATAAAAAAAAAGCTTCAGATACAAATTTTTCCCGATCCTTGCATCAAAATCATTTAAAGTTATATCATTTGGTAAGTTTTAACCGAATCACCGGTAGATTCCAAGAAAAGGTGTGTACAGCTGATTGCTGTTTCCAGCTAAATTTACGAGAAAACACACAAGGTAATCTTTATCCCTGGATGTAAAACAATGCCTAGCAGAACAAAAAATACAATTTAGACGCTAAATCAACATGTCTGGTGATTTTTTTATCTCCAATTTCAAATTTGTATCAACCAAGTTTCTTTACACCTGTTCGTTTACTAGAATTCACTAAAAGGATATGGTGGAATTTTTTTCTGCGCATAATATTAGCGCACTATACTCAAGGAAATACGGTAATTGACAGTGAAGTGGACGTCTGTTGAAAATCTGAAAATTTAGTTAGTGTGACTTAAGCCAAAAATAAAAATACAGGATTTATGGCAAAGATGTAAGCGAGGTAGAGGATTCGCAAGATTTAGATATTTTCAAGAAGTCTATGTTTAACTCTGAGAACAATATGTGAGTTTCCCCTGCATTGGTGAATGTGAAAAAGGTTTCCTGTGCCTTGCAAATGACCACCTTTTTTATTGGTTATGAAATGTATTTCCCTATATAACCAACTGAAGCGCATTAATCAAACACATAAGTTTTACTTGCCCATTGTGATGAGCCTATAATGAGCAGACATAGCCTTGATGCTGTCTGTTGTTTCTCTCAACAAAAAAAGCTACATAATCACATGTACATTGAATCAACGAAATAAATCAATATCCTGATAAAGTAATAGATTACCTGTCCATCACAAATCAAAGTTGAAAACTCAAGCTGACAGCTTGAGTGGAGGATGGTATTTCATACAGGCAGCCTACTACACTTCAGCATAGCCTGAAGTAAATGACTGTTGTGTTAATAAACGGTTAATCTTTAACTTACCAATGATGTTTGTTTTTCGTTGCTCTTGAGGTTTTTGAATGCTTTTTTCCACATGCCCTTGATAGCCGACGATGACTGCGAGTGTTTCATATCAGACTCTTCCTCTTGCTGGTCAACTCCCTCCACAACCGACCCGTTCTGCTTCGGCATCACCATGTCCATCTGCACATACAACACACTCTATATATGTAGAGTCTACATGACCATGTCCATCTGCACATACAACACACTCTATATATGTAGAGTCTACATGACCATGTCCATCTGCACATACAACACACTCTATATATGTAGAGTCTACATGACCATGTCCATCTGCACATACAACACACTCTATATATGTAGAGTCTACATGACCATGTCCATCTGCACATACAACACACTCTATATATGTAGAGTCTACATGACCATGTCCATCTGCACATACAACACACTCTATATATGTAGAGTCTACATGACCATGTCCATCTTCACATACAACACACTCTATATATGTAGAGTCTACATGACCATGTCCATCTGCACATACACCACACTCTATATATGTAGATTCTACATGACCATGTCCATCTGCACATACAACACACTCTATATATGTAGAGTCTACATGACCATGTCCATCTGCACATACAACACACTCTATATATGTAGAGTCTACATGACCATGTCCATCTGCACATACAACACACTCTATATATGTAGAGTCTACATGACCATGTTCATCTGCACATACAACACGCTCTATATGTGTAGAGTCTACATGACCATGTCCATCTGCACATACAACACACTCTATATATGTAGTGTCTACATGACTATGTCCATCTGCACATACAACACACTCTATATATGTAGAGTCTACATGACCATGTTCATCTGCACATACAACACGCTCTATATGTGTAGAGTCTACATGACCATGTCCATCTGCACATACAACACACTCTATATATGTAGTGTCTACATGACTATGTCCATCTGCACATACAACACACTCTATATATGTAGAGTCTACATGACCATGTTCATCTGCACATACAACACGCTCTATATGTGTAGAGTCTACATGACCATGTCCATCTGCACATACAAGACACTCTATATATGTAGAGTCTACATGACCATGTCCATCTGCACATACAACACACTCTATATATGTAGGAGCCTACATGACCATGTCCATCTGCACATACAACACACTCTATATATGTAGAGTCTACATGACCATGTCCATCTGCACATACAACACGCTCTATATGTGTAGAGTCTACATGACCATGTCCATCTGCACATACAACACACTCTATATATGTAGGAGCCTACATGACCATGTCCATCTGCACATACAACACACTCTATATATGTAGGAGCCTACATGACCATGTCCATCTGCACATACAACACGCTCTATATCTGTAGAGTCTACATGACCATGTTCATCTGCACATACAACACACTCTATATATGTAGAGTCTACATGACCATGTCCATCTGCATATACACCACACTCTATACATGTAGAGCCTACATGACCATGTCCATCTGCACATACACCACACTCTATATATGTAGATTCTACATGACCATGTCCATCTGCACATACAACACACTCTATATATGTAGTCTACATGACCATGTCCATCTGCACATACAACACACTCTATATATGTAGAGTCTACATGACCATGTCCATCTGCACATACAACACACTCTATATATGTAGAGTCTACATGACCATGTCCATCTGCACATACAACACACTTTATATATGTAGAGTCTACATGACCATGTCCATCTGCACATACAACACACTCTATATATGTAGTGTCTACATGACCATGTCCATCTGCACATACAACACACTCTATATATGTAGAGTCTACATGACCATGTCCACCTGCACATACAACACACTCTATATATGTAGAGTCTACATGACCATGTCTATCTGCACATACAACACACTCTATATATGTAGAGTCTACATGACCATGTCCATCTGCACATACAACACACTCTATATATGTAGAGTCTACATGACCATGTCCTTCTGCACATACAACACACTCTATATATGTAGAGTCTACATGACCATGTCCATCTGCACATACAACACACTCTATATATGTAGAGTCTACATGACCATGTCCATCTGCACATACAACACACTCTATATATGTAGGAGCCTACATGACCATGTCCATCTGCACATACAACACACTCTATATATGTAGAGTCTACATGACCATGTCCATCTGCACATACAAGACACTCTATATATGTAGAGCCTACATGACCATGTCCATCTGCACATACAACACACTCTTTATATGTAGCGCCTACATGACCATGTCCATTTGTACATACACCACACTCTATATATGTAGCGCCAATAGTGTTGGCTGGTTATTAGCGGTACGGAAGACTCCCGAGTTACCTCCCTTGTCTTCGCTCTTCTCTCTCTCATTATTTTGTACTCGCCTCGTGGTGTTCGGAAATAAAACCTCTCGCAACCGAAAAGCCTCTTCATCTTGTGTCCCAATCGTCAGTGGCCTAAGAGTGTCCGTCAAACCATACTGGGGTGGTGGCAGCGCTACGGACAAGTTCCCACACCTGACATTCGGTTGGATCGTGCAAAACACTCAAAGTATCACAATCGCTTCACAGCAGACGATCGGTCAATATTGCTTTTACTGGATAGCACAAATTACACCCTCATCATGGCTAATACTGCGAGAGCACCTAAACAGTGGTGTTTAACCAAACACGAGACAGTTAATTCATTTGAGAACTGGCGTCAAAATCTTTTGTATACATTGTCACTAGATCGGAACTTTGCTCCATTCCTAGCGACAGGTGCTACATGGCTCAAGAAAACCGCCCATGCTCCCTTGCGTGGATTTACGGATGATAATGAGGAGGTTCCCGTCGGGTTGCGATGAACAGCTCTACAAAAGGTCAGTGCCCTGGAACTTATGCTTGGACAAGTAGCCAATTATTGCCCCGTTATCTCAAGAAACACTATGGTGAAGAATTCTACATCCATTGGTCAGATCTGGCAAGTTATCAGACTCCATTATGGATTTCAGTCTACCGGAGCTCACTTCATAGACTTTTCTGACATTAAGCTTGACCCTGAGGAACGCCCAGAAGATTTATATCAGCGCCTCATGGCCTTTATTGAGGACAATCTCTTGCGTCGGGAGGGTGCTATTACCCACCATGGAGTGATAATCAACGAGGACGAGGAACTTTCTCCCACTTTAGAGAACTTTGTTATACTCACATGGCTACGATTGATTCACCCTGAATTGCCAAGACTGGTCAAGCAAAGATATGGAACCGAACTACGCTCACGGACCTTAGCTTCCATCAAACCGGAAGTCTCGCAGGCACTTTCATCTCTCCTAGATGAAATACATACAGGGGATGACGTGAAGATTATGAGGGCTGCAGCGTCCTCAGATGGCAACCGAAGATCTCCATTTACCAACAGACCTCCAAAGACCTCCCCCCAACGCCCAAACAAGATGTGCCCTCTGTGCAGTCAAGCTGGTCATTCAGACATACGCCACTTCCTCAGTGTGTGCCCACACCTACCAGAACGGGACAGGAAATACATGACGAAGGCTCGACAGATATCGCACATTTTGGACATAAACGACAATGACAATGAGGAGACAGAGGATGTTTTCACCATCGAGCCCCCAACATTATCTAAGTCTAACCTCTCAGCACTTAGGATCCAGGTCCGCCAATCTCCATATATTGATGTTTTCCACCATCATCATGGTGTCCGCCTCACACTCGACTCTGGAGCAACCGGCAACATGATTCGCCTGTCAGCCGCAATACGTCTAGATGCTAAGATTACCAAGTCATCACAGTCAGCCCATCAAGCAGATGGATCCTCGCCCCTAGAAGTCGTTGGAGAGACCTGCATGACATTTGCGCGCGATGACAAACAGTTTTTGTTCGAAGGCTTGGTGGTTAAGGACCTCGATGTCGATGTCATTGCAGGAACCCCCTTCCTTGAGTGCAATGATGTGAACACTCGACCAGCTAAACGACAAGTGCACGTCGGTGACAATGCTACATATACTTATGGCTCTACCGACGAACCAACCACTCGTCACACTGTGCGGCGTGCAAGCCTCATACGAGCTCCCCATGTTGCTACAGTATGGCCTGGTGAATATCTGGAGGTAAGCCTTCCCGACGACATGTACTCTCAAGATGGAACCGTGGCAGTTGAGCCACGTATCGACTCTAGACAAGTGACTACAAAAGACAACTACATGTGGCCTCCACCTAGCCTCTTAACAAGTGTCTCAGGCAGGATCCGCATCCCAAATTTGACTGATAGTCCACAGACCGTGAGACGACATGAACACTTTTGTCAAGTCAGACCAGTTGCTATCCTACCGGACAACAATGCGACAGCCCATGACCCTCCAACTTCGTGTCTTAAAACCTCAACTGTTCATCACCAGGGCGCAAACTACTCTAGCCATGGTAAGTTAGATCCTGATTCTGCTATTCCCCCATTGGTAGTGGCCAGTTTCAAGTCGCTTCTTGAAGAGTATGACACTGTTTTTGACCCCCGGTTCCAGGGTTATAACGGGAAGTCCGGTCCATTCCAAGCTGTTGTGAACATGGGACCTGTACTACCGCCGCAGCGCAAAGGACGTGTTCCCCAATATTCCAGGGACAGACTTTTAGATCTACAGACGAAGTTCAACGAACTCGAAGACTTGGGTGTCTTCGTCAGACCTGAGGATGCCAATATCTGCGTAGAGTAGTTAAACCCAACCCTCCTAGTCGAGAAGTCTAGCGGAGGCTTCCGGTTGGTCACTGCCTTTGCAGACGTTGGACGTTACAGTAAGCCACAACCATCCCTGATGCCCGATGTTGACACAACGTTACGCCAAATAGCCCAATGGAGACACATCATTAGCACAGACCTCACAAATGCCTTTTACCAGATTCCACTCTCACATGAGTCTATGAAGTACTGTGGTGTAGCGACCCCCTTCAGAGGAGTGAGAGTCTATGCCAGGTCAGCCATGGGCATGCCGGGGTCAGAAACTGCTCTTGAAGAGCTCATGTGCCGAGTGCTAGGAGAATTACTTGAAGAGGGAGTAGTTGCTAAACTTGCTGAT